TGTATATCTCAGAATTTCGGAAAAGTGCCTAGTTTTCGAGAAAATCGATATTTTAGATTTTCGTAGTTCCGCCGCTCGCCGCTAGATGGCGCCACCTGTACCGTTTTCGACCGAATTCGACAAAAATTGATTTTCTGGCTTTATTAGGCATCAAAACGCATCAAACCCTAATAGAAATTTGTTTCTAAATGCCTCAGGAACCACACTACGTTGTCAAAGTGCCGAAATATTGCACTTTGCAATGTGCAGTTGACAAGAGGCGTGGCCACGTCTACACGACAGGAGGCGGGGCCACGCCTACAGGACTGCGTCGCGCAGAAGACTGGAGGCGGGGCCATGCGTACAGAACTGGGCCGCGTATGCGCAGTAGAATTGACATAGGCGGCGTATGTACGTATCGGAATGCTGACACAAAGTAATTAATTACGCGTTACCCGAATATTATTTACGAACTTTTATGATCAAACTATGTAAATAGTGCATCGCTGAACATTCTTCAATCATAAAAGTGCACAAAATATATGCAGAAAACGTGTAATTAATTATTCAAAATGACCTCGTATATACCGCTTGTCACCGCGGCTGGTCTTAGGTTATTAGTTAATAACTAATTAATTTCATTAAAAGTCTGAACAAATATGATACGAGAGAGTAGCTGAGGGATCACTAAACATTCTTTAATAATGAAAGTGCAAAAATTGTGTTTAGAAAATGTGTTATTAATTATTTGAAATTAGCTCATGCATACGATGTACTCCGCCGACTTCGTGTTGGATATAAATGAATAATTAATTATTTACAATAAAAATCTGAACAATTGTGATATGAGTAAGTAGCTGAGGAATCATTGAACATTCTTTAATCATAAAAATTCATAGATTGTGCTCAGAAAGTGAATAGTTAACGATTTTGCATACGCATTATCGTGTATAATAGGGTTAGCATATAACTCTACTGCGCATGCGCACCATTTGCGCCGTACTCCTCCTATTCCGCATACCTTCCTTACCTTTCCGCTATCCTGATACTAAAAGTAGATCCTGTTATCCGTTCGCTAGATGGCGCTTGTATAGAAGGTCGGAAATTTCTATTGCCGTAGTTCCGCCGTTCACCGCTAGATGGCTAGGCTTTTTAAGGTCCATAAAATGCATTATTATTCCACTTTCTTTTCTAACAATTTTAGAGACATGGGAAGACGTTATTTCGATTCTACAGAGATTTCGATTGTTTCTCGCGTCTTCGAAGTAATAAAATTTTGCAGTAAATAGCTGCTTGGCGTCGCAGTTCCGGTGTTCGCTGCTGGATGGCGTACCCGGTATGTTTTTCAGCGCGCACGCGGTTAATTTAAGTTCTACAAAACTTTCGATCTTACACGTTAACGATTATGTTATGAATTATTTATTCTGATCGTTCGGGTTGGTACGCGAAGCTGCTACGTGGAATTACGTGGTGCAGGGCAGCTTAGGTAGTTCGAAAGCATGTAAATCTATTACGCGTACGTGTAACACTTGGAAATCGTATAGCAAGGGGCTCGCTGATCGTTGACTCGCACTCCTGCGCTCGGTTGTTCTCGAACTAGACGAAGAAAGGCCTGGAAGGAAAAATTCGCAGCAGATAACGAGCGTCGTAAGCGTGCATATAATGCGGTTACAGATACGTCGAGCATTCGTTCTCGTAAAAAGTAAATTTATTTCGTTCGCAAAGGTACATGTCTTTTGTGTCGTTCGTTTCAAGCGATTACGCGATCGTTGAGTAATTACAGGCCAATAATATAACGAAAAGTCCCGTTCGTTTTTTCTCGAGTGTACATAGCTACGCGTTCTTGTTTCGGACATTAAAGGAACTGGAAGATTCGATAACAATTCGTAAGTTATTCGACGGCGGCGCCTCTAATTCTCGAGTAAATATTTGCACGTATTTATAATAATATCAGCATCGTTATTAGCAGGAATTTCGGAAGCTCTGTTCACTTCCTTCCGCTACGAAATGCGGAAAAATTACACGAGTTTAATATTGGAGCGATATAGTTCTCTTCCTTTACCGTTCTATACGACTATCTTAAAATAAGCATCCGTTAATCGACGATGCGGTTTTTACGCGTTCTTCGCTCTCATTGCAGCATCATTTTCGTTAGAAAATACGAATAGGATTAGGTTACGTTACTCCGTCTTGTTCAACGAAAATACATTATCAGGTTTATCTTATAGTCGACGATACGAGCGGTATCGGAATACCGTTCACTGTACAAGGTACGGATCTCTCGAACGTAAAGTCTAGAAAATATCTTTGGCACGGTTCAGAGGTATTTGCAATTATTTTCTGCTTCGTTCGATCGTTTAAGCCACGAAGCCGCTAACTTATCCATCTACCGTCTAAGCGTACGCGCGGACAGATTCTCTTCCTGACGCATCCTTCTTCATCGCGCGCGAAAATACTCTACGATTATGGCTTACGCGCTAACGAATATCATATTAATACTTTTCTTTGGCACAAACTCGACCATCACATCGAATACGAACATTGAAAATATTCTAATTCTCGGTATCTATCGTTTATCGAACGTAAGCTTCTTTATGTACATCGAGCGCATAAAAATACTGTATCTTCCGAACAAGCTTCCTTGAAAAAGTGCTCTCGATACTCGATTTCCCTTCTCTATTAATGCCCTGCATACGAGTGCTATTCGATCACGATTAAGTACAAACAACGGTTCCGTCGAATGCGCGTACGTTCTTATCGCGATTACGATTAACGGCTTAAGTACGCTGAGAGTAAATAAATAAATAAATAAATAAATAAACAAACTATAGAGAGTCTATATAGAGCGACGAGAAGGAAAGAGAGAAGGAAAGAAAAAACGTCTCAGTTTCGCGATTCGAAGGTACAATTGGTGTAAAGGTGGATTCTTTGATGGTCTCGCAAGTGATGTCGATGCTTGAATCGTTTCTTACACCAGGCGCACTGAAATCTCGGCCCGACGCCGCACTCGAGCCGCAAATGCCTCGTCAAGTTGCACTTGTGGGAATAAGTACGACCGCATTTTCGACAGAGAAACGGTGGCCCCTCCTCCAAATCCTTTAGCATCTTCCAAACTGCAACATCGTTTGAAGGATTCGGTGAAACAATTTGTTGTACGTTCGATGCAACGAAAAGGAAGAACGACGAAAGAAGAAGAAGAAGCGTGTAACAGCAAAATAATGTTAACGATCAAAAGTAATGGCACGCTTCGAATTTTTGGTAATTATTCGTAAAATAATAACGTGTCGTAAATAGAAAATACATATTTATTTCTGTTGCTGTACAATCGTAAATATATGCGTCTTTTTTCGGTTTTCTTTTCCCGCGAACGCTAACGATTTCGAAAAACGTAGCTCGTTTGTCCTAAGTAGAAAAGAAGCGGGCGATAACGCGGTCTCTTACAAAATTCTCTTACAAAGACAACGAATATCTTCGCTCTCAATGTTTCTGATGCGTTCTCATATGCAAGACCAGGTTGTGCTTGTGTTTCGATTTCTTGTGGCATACGGGACATTCGAATTGCGGCTCGACCCCGCACTCGAACCTCATGTGCCTGCTCAACGAATGGGGCCTGGTGTACGCGTTTCCGCAACGGGGGCAAGAGTATCTGGAAGAATCGCGAATGCTCGCGGTGATCGGCCGCTTCCCAGCCAACGACGACGTCTCGCTCGCTTTACTCTTGGCCGCGTCCTCCTCGCCGTGAACGCGCTCGTTGCCGGTACGCTGCTGCGTTTTCCCGGGACAATCGGCTTCGGGAGTCGCGTTCTCGAAGGCCATTTGATGATTTTCCGCCATCAATCGAAGATACAGCGTCTGATATTGATAGTACCGTTCGATCGCTGCACCTGACGAGTACTTCGGCTCTAAAAAATAGACAAGGTAATCAGTATCGTGATTCCGCGACGGGTCTCTCGGATCGGACGATCGATCGAGCGACCATCGCGGGAACGTGGACTTACACAGAACACGGACACATTTAACCGATCACCATGAAAGCATTCTCGAGGGCCGTTTCGACGCGAACGACGTCGCGCCGAAACAACGCACCGATTCGTGTCTTCGGTTTCCCGTTAGCTTTCTCGTTAGCTCTCTCGTTAGCTTTCTCGTTCTTCCGCCGGACGATTCGCGTACGGGTTAAGATAAACGAGTAGTTTTCGATAGCGAGTGTTATAGACACGTTTACGAGCACCACATTGACAAGCCGTTAGATATTAAGTTGCGCTCGAGTTATGTTCTCGTAGAAGCAGCATCTATCCGATCGCAACGCGTACGTAGTCATTCATTGAGTCGACAATTTTTCTTAATGATTCGTTTTATTCGGTAAAAAGATGAGCGAGGTTTTTCGTTCTGGTACATTGTTCGGTCGGTTGGTCGCGACGACTCGAAAATTTCCTAAATTACAAACGTACAAACCGGTCGGGACGATTCGGTTATCAGAAAATAGAAGGATCACCGTCATTCGCGTACATTTAGCCGGCAACGTTTACACGGTTAGGTTAGGTAGGCGTACAGAAGAATCGCAAGCTTTAGTATTTACAATTCGATCGATCTCCGTCGATCGAGATCGAGACCGTTCCCGAGGTCCGAACGTCGACGATACACAGCGTACAATTAATTCCGTCGAAACGAAGAAACGAAGAAACGAAGAAACGCGCGTTTACAGCGAACATCTATCGGTACGCGACGGAACGATCGATCGACGGATACATTTGCTAGAGTAAAACAGTCATTTTTTAACGATGTTTCGGAAGTTTATGTCGGCCTTGGTAATGTTCGTTCAATTTATACTGGTGATAGAACTTTTTCGGGCACAGTTTGCAGCAAAACTTTTTCTCTTTGTTACCGCACTCGACCCTTTGATGCCTCAACAAACTGTCCCTCCACTTGTACCTCTTTCCGCAACCGAAACAAATGTTGATCAAAGATCCGTCTTGCCGCGAATACTTGGCGTCCGCTTGTTGCGAAAGATTCGCGTTGCCGTAAAGTTGAAACCCCGATGACAAACCGTAGCCCAGCTGCAACGACGAGAAATCTGCAATTAAAGAAACAAAAGAAACCGCTTAGGAACTGTTCTCTTCGCTTCTTTTCTCGACGAGAGATTTTAATCGATATCGATCGCAATCAATTACGCGACAAGTCTTCAAAATACATCGTCTTTTATTTCTCGTCCGACTTTACAATCGTCTCGTTGAAACATTATATTTAAGAACGGCAAAACATCGAAATCTCGAAAGCGCGTGTTCGATCGAAACCGTTTTTCTTCCCCGCTAACGCGAATCGGTGCCTTGGAACGTCGTTACCTTCTTCGAAAGAATAATCTCGCGGATTTCGAAGCGCGTCGAAGAATTTTTACGGCGAGAACGAGTCACCGAGACGAGCTAGAAGTTAGAAGGTGACGTTGTCCGAAGGCGTCGAAATCGATTCCTTCTCGCAAGCCAGTCTCTGATGCCTTCTCAACGTGTCCAACCTCTTGTAACCTCTGCCGCACTGCGAGCAATAAAACTTTTGTCGATGAAACCATTCGGTTTCGCCCTGCAAATTCTCCCAGAACGAGTCGCATTCCGTTTGATGCCGCTTCAAGCTGTATATTCGCGTGTAACTTCTGTCGCAGCCTTCGCAGCGAAACTGCTGATGAGATTTCAAGCTTTTGCGAAGCACGCCCGTCTCCACGGAATTCATCAGGATGGACGAGTCGTCGCCGCCGAGCAAATAGTTGATCGGCAGCTGTCCGTGAAACGACGCTTCGCAAATCTTCGACTCCCCCAGTTCCTCCAGCTCCTCCCGAATCGACGCCGCTTTACTTTTCGGCAAGTGCTCGCCTGCAAATACACGTTTCCCCGTTAAATACAACTATCTTTTAATAGAGAGATTCCCTCTCTCTATCCGCGAGCGTACCTTTCGAGACATGCATTATCGAGCTATCTTTTGCACCGACTTTGCCGATCTTACGCCGAACCAAATCGTTTTTGTTAGAGCGATTAGAAAAGCGGATTATAATCGAGAAGCGATCGCCGCGATACCTCTTCTGCGCTGGAAACTTATTCCTCTAGAAATCATAACAAATCACGTACTAGAAAATCCTTTATTTCGTTATTACTTGTTTGGTACGTCGTTTCGTTACAATTGCTCGTAACGACGGTAACGTTATCGGATCGCGGCAAATTAATCGAGAGAGAGAGAGAGAGATTCGGAATATTTTTCGCGGAAGGATATATCGAAAATTCGTTTCGGGAAACGGGGATCATATCGTAGAACGCGCGTTCGCGCGTACACCGACGAAACTTTACTATGGCATCTCCGATTTCGGATAAAGACTCGGATGCGTGGATTTCACGTGCGAGATCATCGACAACCGTTTGGCAAACTTTTTGCCGCAGAAACGACAGAACAGCCCCCCCTTCAGTTTGCAATAATTCTTCTCGTGTCTTCGTAGACTGTCGAGCCTGGAGAAACTCTTGCCGCACTCCTGGCAGATCACCACGGTCTTCGCTGTCCGCCTCCGTTCTCCCGTTTCCGCGAAATTGTAATTGCTGGCCACAAACTCGAACAAGGTTTGCGGCATCTCGTACTCGTTCTGCTCTTTCAGAAACCAATCGGCCAGGTTCGCTCGATTCCCTGCGAAGAATCAACGATTCGCGTTAACAGAGACACACGTACTCGCGTTACGTTCGTGTGGACGTGGTTGGATCGATTGGTCGCAATGGATCGGGAAACAAAACGCATGCACCGGAATACGGTATAGCAGGTGTACACGAGTAATCCACGAATCCGCCCCCTTCTACGCGCAACAGACAAAACGTGTTTCTCTTCGTCAGACATTTATTGTTCGAGACGCTCACAATCCAGCGATAGAAGATAAAAATGCCAACTTTAACTTATTCTTAGTTTTCGCCTCGACTAGGTAAAATTAGTTTTCTCGCGAGAACGACGATACGGACGCGAGCGAGCGAGGAACGTTTCGTTTTCGATCTATACATGTATGTACCTATGAAGAAAAAGTAAATCGCCGCGTCGCGTTACAACGTTCTTATACCGCGTACAAATACATCGAACAAGGAAAAACGAAATCAAGCGCACGAGCAAACTACGAGATCGCGAATATTTTATGTTTGTCTCTCGACTTAAAAATACGTGTGTCGATCGAAGAGACTAGACGATTCTCTAATTCGTTTCTCCCCGAGCAGTCGATCCGATCGAGGATGCCCGACTCAGGGAGCGCTGTGTCTGGTGTTGAAATGATTCGTCAACTCGTATCGTCGGTAAAACTTCCTCCAGCATATTCTGCAATGGTGCTTCGGCTCTTTTCCGCACTCGAGTCTTTGATGTCGGCGAAGATTCGCCATCCGCGTGTACGCTTTGCCGCATTCTCCGCACATATAGCGTTGCATCGAGTTCGTCTGAGCTGCGTGCGGCGAATGAAGCGTAACCACGTCCGGAAACATTTTCGTATCCTTCGTATCCTGGGCGAATTGAAAAGCGACCAACTCGTTCATCAGCTCGTATCCGTCTGGAATACCAGAAAAATTCGTTACTGCGAATCGATGCGTCACACCTAACCAACGATTCGTGATCAAACGAGCACTACGTGAAGGAACAGAAAACGCGACGGTAACTTTGGTAACGGGCAACGGCCCGTTCCAAACTTCTATCTACCCAATCGAATTCATCGACGATCGCTTTATTGAATCGAGCAACTTTCCAAGAAAAAATACAATTCGTTTGATTTCCTGGGAAATCGTGAGAGCGTACAAAAGAAGAGGGAACACGTCGTCGTCCTTCGTCGACGATCACGGTGGTATTCGAGACGCCGCTCGAAAACTTCGAAAACTTCGAAAACGCGTATCGATCGAAAAGAAAAGAACGTGGTTCCTTTCCTTTCGTTTCGTTCGCTTTACTTTCGTTCGCTAAATCAAGTCCGAGTGATGCGATAGCACGTGTTCTTTCAGTCTGTCTCGTCTATAAAACTTTCTCGCGCAAAACTGGCATTTGTTTCTCGCTTCTTTGTTGCCGCATTGCAATTGATGACGACGAAGGCTGTACATCCAGGTGTACTCCCTGCCGCAAAGAGTACAGGTGAACAGTTGCTGCTGTTGCGGTTGTTGTTGCTGTTGCTGTTGTTGCTGTTGCTGCTTATTGTTAGGATCTTCCGGGCAGTAGGAGAAGTAGTAGGCCTCGTTGAAGTTCCTTTCCTTTAGCAGCATATCGTCCATCGACGCGCTGTGATAATCGTTCGCGCTCCACACGTTCTTCGATAGAAAACCTGTCGAAGTAACACACTGGTGAACTGGTGGCAACAGGTGACAGTGAGGAAATACCTGAAGGTACGGGGAAAAAGTGTTTCGAAGAGACGTACTAGCTAAGATGAAGAGAACGAGAGGCAAAGATCGCAAGGGGCGCGTTTCGTCGTGGATCGCGCGCGGCAGCGCAGACAAACCACGTTTCATCGTTAAAATTCGTTTATTTATCAATACATATAAAACAACGGAATACAAAGGGCAGGAAATGCTTTCGTTATCGACGAGAAAAAAAAGCACTGTAACACTGGTACCACTGTAACCGACGAGACGTTAATACATCGTATACGTAATCCCTACGAGCGTTCGTACTGTTCTATTCCGTTTCTCTCTTCGACGACGACGGCGACGACGACGACGACGATGACGCGTCGATAACTCGAATCGATTCGTAAACGCGCGTTTACGAATAAACGTGAATCGTAGTTACGAGCGGGAGAACGGGTATCGGATGGGATGGCGGAAAAATCGAGTTCGGGAATTTGGTGGAAACCGCGGAAAGAAAGAATTCGTCGAGAGAGATACTCGCGTCGATTATATCGTCGAAAGAGGCTGAAAACAGAAACGTCTAGATGCTACTCTCGTTCCTCGGGAAACGAGAGCGGATCGGTGCTCTTCTGAGAGACGTTTTGCAGTTTTCTCTGGCATCCGATGATGTGCGAATTCAAGACGAATCGGTGCTTGAATCTTCGATCGCAAATCGGACAAACCTCGCAAGGTATCACGCCGCATTCGAGTCGTTTGTGACGACTGAGAGACGTGGTAGCTTTATACGTTTTCCCGCATCTGTTGCATATGTATTTTTGATCGTTGTCCTTCGAGTTGGTCCTTCTTCTGGTCGGTTTGTACGGCATCCCTAACAAAGCCATGTGATCCCAGACCGCGTCGCTGTTTTCGTGCGGCTGTTGCGCGTCCTGCGTCAGCAACATCGTCGCCAGAAGCCCTGAAACGAGAGAATTCGTTCGTTAGACGCCTGCGTCTCGGCTGCGCGCGTAATCGGCGTGTCGCGTCGTTAAGTCCTCGAGGGAGGACGAAAGGGAAATTTTCTTTGTCTCGGAGAAAAGTGTCTCCGATAAAGAGGCCGTGGACTCTCGGAACGAAGTCGACGATCGGAGACGAAGAAAAGAAAAATTAAAAGAGCGAGAGCAAGCTGAAAGAGAAATTGTTATTGAAAGTCGAGACGGGTCGAAGCGCAGCGAATAGGAGAATGCGCGCACGGAGCGTTCGTGGAGCGATGGAACATAGTAAACGATATCGTTTTTCTCACAGGAAAAGGTGTATATTTATTGCATCGTGTAAAACCCGTACACAGCTTGTGCCTTCGCATCGGTGGTAAGCTCTCTATCTATCGACGGAGCTGTGTGCCGTCGTCTTCGTCGTTTCGTTCTAAACACGTGTCACGTAGAAAAAGATTTCGCCTCTGATCGCTTTCGAACGATCCGTGGTAATTTCACGATTTCGCGGATCGAATCGCGTTCGAGTCCCTAACAGCGATCATCTCGCTCGAGTCGAGTTCGAATCTTTTGCTATTCCGTTTGTACGATAAGCAGGATTAAAGTTCTGTTCGCGAGAACGCGTCTAGTTCGACGAGAGAATACGATTTCATATGGTTCCGTAGTATTCTCGTTTTCTTCTGCACGAGGCCAGATGATGCGTCAACTTGAACCTGTGCATGAACTTCTTGCCACAAATCGGACAGCTCTGTCTCGGTTCGACCCCGCACTCGAGCCTCTGATGCCTTCTCAGCGACGTTTCCAACTGATAACCTTTTCCGCACCTGGTACACTTGTGAATCACCGGCCTCCTCTTGTACTGCAGGTTTTCGATGTTCTTCACCGTGAGCCTCGGCACTGGAAAACAGAGCAGAAACGAAAGATCGGTCAGTAAGGGGGACAGGATCGTCCGAGAACGAGAACGGCGAAAGCCAAACGTTACGCTCGACTCGGCAGCTCCCAGATTTCACGGCCGTCCGAGAAAGGACACGCTACAGCTTTCCGCGATTCTCTACGAACAAGAATTTCGATAACGCACCGCGATTAAAAACGTTCGAGAGTCCTTACCCTTTCTTCCTTTCCGGCCGTTCCACGGATCGTTTCGCGGAAAAGTCGTAGAAAACGTCAACATTTTCAATACGTAATACGTAACGTTTATTTCCTAAAAATAAGTAACATCGTCGATTCGACGTTCCTCTCGATTTCCACGCAGCGTAACGAAAGTGTTCTCTCGGAAATCGTGTCTCGAACTTTTCGGGGAAACGGGCAAAAGACAACGGAAGTACAAACGATCGATCACGATTTCTCGATGAACGCGGTCTATCGATTCGATTCAACGACCGCAAAATGCCGAACGAACGAACGAACGAACGAACGAACGGTGACTAGCTAATTAATCGATGCGTTCGGTCGGTCATATGTTCAGATAATGTATCAGTCTAGCGTGTGACTGCCAACGGTGTTTGTGCTTGAACTTCCTGCCGCAAATCGGACACTCGAAAGTCGGGTCCTTGCCGCACTCGACTCGAAGATGTTTCTTCAACGAGTCTCTCCACATGTATTGCTTGCCGCACCGGTAACACCACCATAATTTCTTCGGGGTGGCTGCAAAGAAAAATCGACAAATTATTTTCACGGTCTTTTTCCCTTTTTCCATTATCTTTTTTTTATCTTTATTTTTTTTCTTTTTTTAAGTGAAGCTGCTTCAGGCACGCCACGTTTCGCACAAAGAAAAAAAATAAAAACTAAAAGCTATGCGTGGGTAACGCGACATTTTGACGGCAACCGTGATTTCGAGGCGACGCGTTTCGATTATTATCGACGAAAAGTATACGCAAACAATGATCCTTTCTAGACGCTAACGCGTTTCGATTCGCGTTCGAAAGCGATCCAAAAAATAGGTAGTTACGTAGAACGCGAGATGCGGCCTTCTCTACGTACAACCGTTCGCGTTCGAACGATAAACATTTGAGAAACAGTGTGTCTTTTCTTGTCAACGAAAGTTTTATTGGCATGCTAGCGTGTTTCGGTGTCGTCGATCGACGAGAAGTCGACGGTGCGGTCTCGGAGACGGCTCGGCAGGAAAGGATGCTCGTTACAAATTAATACGATGCATGCACTTTGCGTGAGATTGCCAACGATGTTTGTGCTTGAACTTTCGGCCGCAAATCGGACACTTGAACGTGGGTTCCTTGCCGCATTCCACTCGTATGTGATTCTTCAAGGACGCGCGCCATTGATACTGTCTGCCGCATTGAAAGCACGTCCACACCTTCTGCAAGTAAGCTGCAAAAGAACAAGCGTATCGCGTTAAGTCGTCGTTTCGAGTTTTCTCTTATCGCGGGTCGATTCGCCTACTATCGTTTACTATCGTTCGCTATCGTTTCCCGCGCGTTGCAACGATAGCGCGAAAGGTGAAACATGCCGAGACGTTTTGAAACTCGTCAAGGAAACTTTTATTCGTTCTCTTAAACAGTTTTGCGTACAATCAGCTGGAAGCCCTCCTCCTTCTCCTCCCTGTCCCCGGACGTAGGAAATGCGTATTGAAATAACGAATCGAAAATAGATAAAATCTTTATTGTAGCAAAGTCGCGTTACGATCTCGTCCCGTGGAAACGCGCTCGCGTACCGTTCGCGTTCTCCTCGAAACAACCTGGTCGATAGAAAACGCGGAGAAAATTCTAGGACAGCGTCATCATCGATATTTTCGTCTGTGCAAATTCGACGTGAGATGCGATTGCAGTCTATGCTTGTATTTGAACATCTTCCCGCAAAGAACGCAGTTGAATTTCGGCTCCTTTCCGCAGAGACGAAGATGCGTGTACATGGAAGATTTTCTGGAGTAGGTCTTGCCGCACACCCTGCACGGGTAAACCGTTTCTCGGGTAGTCTCACCTGAAACATAAATCACCGATGACGCATGGATGTCTGGAGAACTGGAGAAGACGTAGGTTCGGTCGTCGCGTTAAAGACCGAGTTACAATTACCGCTAGCGGCAGATCGTACGCTTTCGAGCGTCGACTTTCGGCTAATCGAGAACGAGATACTAAAAGATTCGGCCGGTGTCGTAGAAATTTCGTTCGGCAACGGGGGACACACCATCTCGAAGAAAGCGAATTCTTTCTCCAAGCTGAGAAAAACACTCCAACAACATTTTCTTCGACGTTTATTACTCATTCTTCGTTACTCTCGTGATCCGCGATCACCGAAATCGATAAAATAGCAATCGAAGCGTTGCTCGATACATCGATCGAATCCTGTTCGAGTCGAATCGCAAAAATGAAAGTAACAATTTTGTACCGAATGCGCGATAGTCGACGTTTCGATCGGTCGAACGGCTCGAACGATCACTGATCCACGTAATTGTGAATGGATTTGTGATGTTTCGTCACGTGGTGCTTGTGTTTGAATCTTCTTCCGCAAATCTTGCACGAAAACCGTGGTTCGATACCGCACTCCATTCGTTTGTGCAAATTCAGCGATTCTCTCCATTTGTACGTTTTGCCGCAGTTGTTACACGGATAGCGAAACGTAAAAATCGGTAAACCTGAAATCACAGAAAGGTACACCTTTATTAACATCACGATTCCAGGTGTCGTCGATTCGACGAACACGCCGGTACTTTCTATTTCGCTTCCGTCGCGCTCGCATCGCAAATATCGCGCGCTAGGTACTTCCGCAGCTTCAACGAGAATGCGCTCAACGAATCGTTTTATTAGCAAATCTTGTCAATATTTACAACGGTTCGAGCGAAAATCGATGCTCGTGGTTTGTGCTTATGTGTAACGAGATTTCGTTGCCCCTCGAGAATCGTTCGAGAATCGTTCGAGAATCGTTCGAGAATAGTTCGAGAAAGCGGAGACACGGAAGGGAAGAGGGAAACAAATTGTACGTTTATTGCTCGTCGAAGCACGAGGTCAGCGATCGATCGCGTCGGCGTCGTCTCTTTGAATGCTCTTACTTCGATCTTCTACCGCGGAAGATTTCCGTTTCCACGGATTGCCAACGGTTCTAGCATCTAGACGTACGCGTAGACACGGAGTAGCCGTAGGAAAGGAGGGAAGCCACGAGACGCAGCCTTTTCCAGCCTCTATTGAACGGTCTTGTCGTTCGAGACGACCCAACGGTGAACGTTGACCAAGTGTTTCTTCAACATCCATTTGTGGCGAATCTTTGCTCCGCAAACGGGACAACGGTGTTGCGGCTCCTTTCCGCACTCTTCTCTCTCGTGTCTGACCAGAGACTGCATCCACCTGTACTCCTTGCCGCAGCTCGAGCAGAAGTGTCTTCCGAGTCTCTTGTAATAGTCTGAACCGCAATAAGCTGAAAGAACAACGGAGCTTCTGTAATTGCGTTCAAATTCCTCGGGCAAGCAGTTTCGTAGCGTTCGCGATCGCAATAATTCAAAACGCTTTGATTGTTGTCTGGTGAAAACGCTTTATTCAAATTCCGAACCGTTCTCCTTCTCGAAACGGTCGGTGGAATAATCGTTGTTCGCTGAAAACATTCGATTCGAACAGAGTGTGATCTCGTCGAAGGTATTTCGGACGTTCGGCGCAACGCCGGATTTTATCGGAAAATAACGCTTTTCTCTTCAAAATTCCACCGCGCGTTTTACTCGACGTTCGTTTCGCTCGATGTCATTCGAATACGACACGTTCGCATACAGGAACCAACGAATCGACGGTACACGCGCTCTATTTACATCTCGATTACGCGCGCGTAGTTACAGTTGCCGCGTGTACAGTGGATTATACATCGTGTCCGCATAAAAACGGCAAAGAAGTACGCTAAAAAAAGTAGGAAAATATCGAGTGACGGCAAGAATACTGGAATATCGGTCGGTCGCTTTGCGCGGACACCTAATTATTCGACGGGCGAAATACGCTGTTTCGAGATTCCGTAAAAAAACACGAGGCGATCGAAAAATCGGCGTAAATATCGTTAAGTCTATCCCGCGTCAAGACGTTTCACGTTCTTGGCGAAATAACGACGTCAGTCTTATGAGCGTTTAACGAGTCATCGAATCTCGTGTGTCGGTGCTCGAGTATTCAGCGATCGTCTAATCAACTAATCTAGATAATACCATGGTAGAAATACGAAAATATAAGGTGGTGGTGCACGGCGACGTTCTCGGTCGACGAACGATCGAAGCGGAAAAATCGTTGACGGAATGTTCGAAAAGTTCGGTAGAAAAAAACGGTGGCTCGAAAAAACGTTATCGAAGAGAGTTCGGAAAGCGATATTGTCGAGAACGCTCTTTGCCTTCGAGTTCGCTTTACTCGAGCTTGTGAACGTTGTTCTCGTGACGCAACAAGTAGTCTCTGCGTTTGAACTTTCTGCCGCAGAGGGTACACTTGTGCCTGGGTAGTTTTCCGCAGCCTTCCCGTAGGTGTCTCGTCAACGAATCGGTCCACGTGTACCGTTTCCCGCACTTGTAACAGGTGAAAGGAGCATCGTAATTAACGCGATTGTGGTCCCTCTTCGATTCTGAAACAGATCACAAAGAGAACGGTGATCAGACAAACGGCAGTTTTCGTTCGAGCACGACACAACCTTCGTCGCTCGCGTTTAGCCGACAAACGATAGGACGTCCATGCGCGATCGCGCCGTTTCGATGGCGACTCCTTTCGAAGAACGTTCGAGGAACGCGAAGCGAACGTTTGCGCAGCTTGGTACGCGAAAGGCCAGGGGAGGAATCGAGAAAGGAGAAATATCGTGAAAATAATCAATACCTCTCTTTATTGATTACAGCGCGTAAACCGTACGACACCGACGACACGCGGATACCTTCGTCCCTTTTAACAACGCGCGAATTCGCCCTATCCCGACACGCGATTCGGCTTTAACGCGTTAATCGTCTCCATAGGCGACGCGACGCGACGCGACGCGACGCGATCGGTTCAGTGAAATCGTTTCAGATGGGAGGTCAACAGTTGTTTGTGACGAAACTTTCTGCCGCATACGGAACACGCGTATTTCGGCTCCACTCCGCACTCGTACTTCAAATGTTTGTTCAGAGAATCCCGCCAACGGTACTGTCTTCCGCAGTTCTTGCACTTTGCTTTCTGCTGTTTGCCGCACTCTTCCCGCAGGTGGCGATGATACGACGACTTCCAGGAGTAGCTTTTACCGCAGACGTTGCATCGGTAGAAGGTTGCACCACCGTCCGCGGTGGTCGTGGCCGTGTCCGCGATGCTCCGTCCCGTGGCCGGTTGCCAGCCTGAAACCGTAAGTCGTTGGTCAGACAACGGTGAAACCGGCTCATCGCCGTGTTAGTGCCTATAGTAATAGGTACTACCTTCCGAATCTCCTGCGTTTTCAACTTTTCCATTCCCGACGTCTCTCGCCTACTACCGTTTCGAATCGTGTTCGCAACAACGGAGTTTTCGTACGCGACTAACGATATCGCGGCATCGAACAGAGCTGACACGATTAGGGCTGCTTCTATCGAGGGGTGTCGAGATCAAGGGCAAGATGATCGCGATGCGTAAATCATCGTATATTCAGCGGTATATACAAACATTTGCATTGAATTTTATTTTTCTGCGGTATGTACAAAGTTAGGTCTGTTACCGTCCGTTTCTGTTTTTTTTCGACGCGAACAAAAACTTTTTCGAAAGGCAGGTTCGCGTGTCAGGCAAAATTTATCGTTCGCTCCACCATCGAGCGTCGTTCTCGTTCTCGTTCGTTACTCGATCGATTTCGAGCAATTTCTCCGGCTGGACAAATCCCGGCTCGGCTGAAATCAAAACACGATTAATTGAACGAACGTTACGAAACCGATGTCCCCGCGCGACGCGTTTCACGAATAGCGAGCGATCGCGTCTTCGAGAATGCTTCGTCTTTTCCCCTGTTTCTTTCTTGAAATTTCGCTAACGCTTGGCAAAGTCGACGACGACGACGACGACGACGACGACGACGACGACGACGACGACGACGACGACGACGACGACGACGACGACGACGACGACGACGACGACGACGACGACGACGACGACGACGACGACGACGACGACGACGACGACGACGACGACGACGACGACGACGACGACGACGACGACGACGACGACGACGACGACGACGACGACGACGACGACGACGACGACGACGACGACGACGACGACGACGACGACGACGACGACGACGACGACGACGACGACGACGACGACGACGACGACGACGACGACGACGACGACGACGACGACGACGACGACGACGACGACGACGACGACGACGACGACGACGACGACGACGACGACGACGACGACGACGACGACGACGACGACGACGACGACGACGACGACGACGACGACGACGACGACGACGACGACGACGACGACGACGACGACGACGACGACGACGACGACGACGACGACGACGACGACGACGACGACGACGACGACGACGACGACGACGACGACGACGACGACGACGACGACGACGACGACGACGACGACGACGACGACGACGACGACGACGACGACGACGACGACGACGACGACGACGACGACGACGACGACGACGACGACGACGACGACGACGACGACGACGACGACGACGACGACGACGACGACGACGACGACGACGACGACGACGACGACGACGACGACGACGACGACGACGACGACGACGACGACGACGACGACGACGACGACGACGACGACGACGACGACGACGACGACGACGACGACGACGACGACGACGACGACGACGACGACGACGACGACGACGACGACGACGACGACGACGACGACGACGACGACGACGACGACGACGACGACGACGACGACGACGACGACGACGACGACGACGACGACGACGACGACGACGACGACGACGACGACGACGACGACGACGACGACGACGACGACGACGACGACGACGACGACGACGACGACGACGACGACGACGACGACGACGACGACGACGACGACGACGACGACGACGACGACGACGACGACGACGACGACGACGACGACGACGACGACGACGACGACGACGACGACGACGACGACGACGACGACGACGACGACGACGACGACGACGACGACGACGACGACGACGACGACGACGACGACGACGACGACGAGCGTTGGCTGTTTCTACGGTCCTAGAAGGAAAACTCGACCGTGAATGGTCGAATTGTGACGCTGGAAGTTGGCCTTCTGCTTGAACCCCTTCTCGCAGATGCTGCAGATATATTGAGGAGGCTTGCCGCATTCGTCGCGGAGATGACGCTTCAGGCTGCCTTTGTTTCTGTACGATTTACCGCACTTGAAGCAAGGAAACGGCTTCGGCAAGAAATCTGGGATCCGTGGCAACGAATAACTGCTCCTCGAGCAATCACCTGCAATTTAGAGGTCGAAAGGCTTCGATTATTCGATCTAATCACGTGTAAACCGAAGGAGAGGCGCGCACGCACTCCTGTATAAAATCGATCTTCGATGATGTCGGTTAATCGTTCTACCGATTCCCTCGTGCTTCCGCGCGATACTCGATCGATGGAACGCGTACGTAATATGTATGCTCGTGAACAAAGTCTACGTGTGAATATAGGAATACGAAAGACGGTGCAGCAGCTCGAGAACCGAGGTAGCGACCGACGCGTTTCGAGTACGAGGGAATTAAAGCTCTCTATTGAAAAGCGACAGACTCTCCCTTTCACGCACAGATACGCGCACACTTTCGCTCTGTCCGATTCTTACTCGGTCGATCTTCCGACGAAGCATTCGCTTGCTCATCTTCGGGTGACGATCGGGAAGTGAAATGAATGACAAGACATCGCCGGTAACCTTCTGCGTCCTCTATCGGCACAAGCTTTATTTACGAGCCATTTTTACTCGAGGCGCGGTTGTCGAAACGCGACGCGATGCAACGCAACGCAACGAAACAAGCAAAACTCCGCGGAAAACGATCGGAACGAGTCCTCTCGCTTTTCTCCTTCGCTCCCGAGATCACGCTAAAGCTACGAACGTTTGCGACGCGTCGTTCGAAGCCTTCATCTTCCGGACGATGTATCTTCTCGCGGCTGTAATATCTTCCGGCGTAGTCGCAACAGAGTAATCTTCGATGGACGTGCGTTTTCTCGATTCCAGCCTCGCATTTTCTTCTCTGTAATATCGAAAGAAAAGAAACGATCAGTCGATGGATTCGAAATTCCTCGTGAAAAGCGCGTCGTCCGCGTGTTTCGTGTTCTTAAAGTAGATCGATCCTTAAGGTATAAGCTCGACTCGGAGGAAACTCGAAACGATCGATGAATGAAGAAAAGTGGCGGAAATTAAAAAATCTCTTACCCGCGAGTTCTCGTCGGTGAACGAACCTTTCGTTCAAGTTTCTCGAACGAATTACGCGGCGGAAAGAACGCGATCAACGCGATACCCGCGAGTAGAATCGGCTCAGAGTTCCGGGTCGAATCGTCGACGTCCAGAGGCGGAGGCTAAAAAATCCAGAAAGGAAGCAACGTCAGTGAGCGAAGCAAAGTCGGATAAACGATCGCTCGATCGACGGCGAATCCTCGATCGCGGACACGGCTTCCACCTGATCCCTTTCGGTTACCTGCGAAAACGCGAACGTTCCTATTTCTCAAAATTACCACGTCGCTGCTCGTTCGAGATCTGAAAACGAAACGCACACGAGATTAGATTGAATGTTCGTTCGCGCGGGCTCCTCTCGAAGCGTCGACTTTAAAATCACGATCGATCGAAGGCGTTTGAAAAATTCAATCTTGTCGTTTATTCGTTCAGACGTTTGTACATCGTATCGAGGCGTAAAAAAAATCGTGAGACGTCTTTGGGAGCAAGTACGAAACGGAAGACGATGACAGTCGCGGATCGTCGAAACTCGTTTCTCTCGATGGATCGAAAGCGACGATACATCCGGTCGGAGGAAAATAGCGCGCGATTCGATTCGGCGAACGAGGACGCGGAGGTGGGCTAGCAATTGGGAAAATTAGAAAGGTCCATGCTTAGTGGGTCTTTCAGTCGACAGCTTTTCAAGTGTTGCGTCACGTGATGCTTGTGCTTGAACATTTTCCCGCACTGAGGACACGGAACGTTCGGCATTTTTCCGCACTCGTACTTGAGATGCCGATCGAGGGAACTCTTTTGACTGTACACCTTGCCGCAGTTACACACGTATTTCTTCGAGTTGTTGACGGGGAACGAGGCCAGGTCTACGTAGTTGTCGAACGGGAATCTCGGATTCTTCGCGTAAAGCAGACCCTCCTTGTCGTCTGAAATCAGAAACAACACGCCTTTCGTTAACCACTCTAGATCCCACGGAAGCGATCCTATCGTCCGCGTTTCGCCACTGCGCATCGTCTAAAACGCGCATCGTCTTCTCTCTCCTCTTCTAACGGGCTTTCTACTTATTTACAAGACTTAATTGCCGTCGCTTCGTTACGGCAAACGTACGGGGGTACATTTAGTTCGTTTTCGACGATTTTATTGCGAAACTATTTCGAGGTTTGTCGCTGGAAACATCGCAAATATTCGATACAGTACAGGGTCGCGAATCGAACGCAGCGATCGACGACGAGCGCAACGAAATAAGAAAGAAACGATTCGCCGTGAACACAGTCTCCTTTCGAACGATGCAACTTTCTTTCTTCGCGTGGCGTACCCACAAGTTCAATTTGCCGGTGTTATAGGTGCATCGTTGGCGGGGTCGTACTCCGCGTCACGGACTGCAGACGTCGACGAATTCGATGCCCGCGATGGCACGCGAGACGATCTGAAAAAGAAAAAGCGGAACACGTGTCAGTACGAAGGGAGCGAACGGGCTCGACCGTTTCTTCTTCGCGTCGAACTAAAATCCAACAAACGACGATATACATATGTATAATAGATTCGATAGAATACATCGTTTCTGAATAATTAAATCGAATTCTTTATTGTTCGTCGAGTATCTTCGCTAACACAATGGTTACCAGTGAGACACGCACGCGACGATAATCTCGTTCGAATTCGCAGGAAACGAAAAAGAAAACTTATAAATCGTACATCGTAAAGAATATATCGTACATTTATAAGATGTCGTGTACGTAACGCGCGACTCTCGTCGAAATCGTGTGGTCGTTGATCGTGTACCGTACTCTCGTCGCTCTAACAACGTTTCGCGCGTATCCACTAGTCGCTAGCTGTTGTCACCGTTTCTTCCGGACCCCTTCTCGTACACGCGGACAAGAAAACGGAAACAATCGAACGCTTACGTGCTAATTATTATCATCATCGATCTCCGGAAAAGTAACATCTTTTTCTCGGAACGATTTCGCGCCCTTTCACGAACCTCTCGAGGATCGGTCGCGTTTGCGCGTAAAATGGCCTTGAAAATAATTTCTATAAGCGTCTCGTTCGATTCGCTGGCATTTGGCCTCGCCTATTCGCTAATCGTCGATGGAAGCGCGCCGATCGAAAAAGGATCTTCATCGGATTTATTCGGTAGACGATCTTCTCTTCGCGAAAAGTAAATCGTAACTTCCACTCGTACGACTAGTCGGTGAAAGACATTGTTTGGCACGAAATTATTCTCTCTCTCTCTCTCTCTCTCTCTCTCTCTCTCTCTCTCTCTCTCTCTCTCTCTCTCTCTCTCTCTCTCTCTCTCTCTCTCTCTCTCTCTCTCTCTCTCTCTCTCTCTCTCTCTCTCTCTCTCTCTCTCTCTCTCTCTCTCTCTCTCTCTCTCTCTCTCTCTCTCTCTCTCTCTCTCTCTCTCTCTCTCTCTCTCTCTCTCTCTCTCTCTCTCTCTCTCTCTCTCTCTCTCTCTCTCTCTCTCTCTCTCTCTCTCTCTCTCTCTCTCTCTCTCTCTCTCTCTCTCTCTCTCTCTCTCTCTCTCTCTCTCTCTCTCTCTCTCTCTCTCTCTCTCTCTCTCTCTCTCTCTCTCTCTCTCTCTCTCTCTCTCTCTCTCTCTCTCTCTCTCTCTCTCTCTCTCTCTCTCTCTCTCTCTCTCTCTCTCTCTCTCTCTCTTTCTCTCGCACACGTACACACTCTCACCTATTAAACTATCTAATGCGTATTCTAATTTAAAATCTATTTTGGATTTCTCTTTGGGATTCTTTATCGAGAGACTAGGATCGCGAAACGGGCGCGATCATCTTGGCAAATATATTCGATGAAATCTTTCCTCCTAAATCAACGTATACCTCTCGCCTTCTACGAGTTTTTCGTTTGTTTTCTTAATCAGTCTTTACGCTTCTGTTTTTCCTTACGCGTTGCATTTCTTTATTTATTCGCGTGCAAAAATTTGCGCGTTAACGGAAGTTTTACCGAAATTATCCTGGAAGACGCACGTTTTGCCCCCTTCGCGTTGACGAAAACGTCGCGGGACTAATTCTACGGTTCGTTCGGCTGTCGGCGTGAAAGAAACGACAAATTTCTGCGCGTTCGCGGCTCTTGGAATTCTGCCGCGAAAACGGAAGAAAAACGCGATAGCGTGTCGTCGACGACGATAACGATAACGACAACGATAACGATAACAATAACGATAACGACAACGACAACGATAACGGTAACGATTCGCGATGCGAACGCTAGCGTTCTTCCGATCACGGTTTAGGCACATGGAGTGTTCATAAAAAATGACATCGAACTGTGTTTGTTGCGCGCTGAAAGGCTCGCGAAGAAACGAAAGAAGTTCCGGCATCGTAACGCGAGCATTCGACGTTTTCGAGATCAACGCGGAAGCTGAGAGGTTCGCACGCGGATGTCGTTTTCGCGGCGG